TCGTTCCCGGGTTACGGTGGGTATACGGTAGAGGGTCAAACTTCAAGTTCTGTCAAATAACGTCACGATCACTTTCTCTAAGTTTTTATGAAGTCCTTGCAACTCGTCCCGAACCCTGAAAATCTTTCCTAGGTATTTAATCCAGCGTTTTCTTCTCTACCAATGATCAAGTTATACAGGTGGCCCTAATGAGGGCCTTTGGGATAGCATATGTTTTCAGCAGGGAACCGGGTACAACTCGGCTACCTGCTTCCAGAAGTGAAACAGGGACTCTTCCCGCTTGCCGAACATCTGCCTCCATAAGAACTCCTTCAGGTAATCTCCATAGCGGCTGTTGTTAATCCCGCACTTCTGCTTGACGAGGCGTTTATACCTCTGCCAGTGGCTTTCGATGTTCTGGGTGTGCGCCCCAGTCGTCGGGTCCACAAAGTTGAGCTGATGATTGACCGTAAGATGCCTGTAACCTTGTGGAAGGGCGGAAATGCGATTGTAGGCTTGCCAACAATCGCTTATGATGGTGGTGCCGGGCCTTATGTATCTGACGATGAGGCGCAGGAGGGTGCGAGCATCGCGTCGTCGTACCAAAACCAAAAATGATCTTCCACTTCCCCTCTCATATCCTCCAAATAGCCACTGGTGTACACGTACAACCCGACCACGATTGTACTTCCTCTTCGTGACGCACGTCTCATCAATTTCCACCGTGTGCCCGAATCCTCCGAGAACTGGGCGATTCCTCCTAAAGTACTCGCAGCATATGTCGCGGAAATACTGCTCCCACTGGACGACGGTGGTGTGTCGAATTCCCAGTTCGTACTCGATATCCTTCACGAGCCCATAGTTGTGGAGCCAGAAGTACGAGAGAGCGAAAAACTTGACAAGCGGCTGCTTGCACTTGGAGAAGAACGAGCCGGCAGTTATTCCCTCGGTTGGCTTGGTGTTTCCGGAGCGGCATTCTCTCCTGTGGCAGAACCAACGCTTTTGGGCCTCGTTCAGCGTCATCGGACGTCCGCAAGAAGGGCATCTGGGTGTGGGCAGAAGTCCTATCGACCTTAGCCATCCTTCGAACGCGTCCTCTTCCATATTCATCTTCCCATAGATGTCGGCAAGGGTAAAGTCCCTGAGTTCCTCCTCTAGGCGTCGGAGAGCAAAGACGCGGAACACTGCCATAGCTATCGATTGACTGGCTTTGGCTGTGATATCAAATGCCGTAAGGTAAGTGTTCCGTACCGCTCGCGGGTGAGAGTATGAACGTCAAGCTTGGAAAATTGGTAGCCTCGAAATACTGGTGAAACCGATACAAAGAAAACCGGATTCTGTCTTCAAATTGGGTCAGGAGATACCGCACTGTAGGAAGAGAAATAAGTTATAATATTTATCATCTAGCTTTGCAATGTCTTGGATATGGAGCCGTGGATTTGATTTAGCGGCAGTATTGGGTAATTTATGCCTACCGTAATCCTGGTATGACACGCTACCGCAATGAATGAGTATTATATTTGTGATCAGCATGTCGAATAACCCCCCTGCACCAAGTTTCAGCGA